GTAAAGAAAAAATCATTAAAAAATGTAAAAGAAAAATGTAATAAAACAAATTGAAAAAAACATTTTTTTTTCATGCCGTCACAAGTCAGTGTCCCTGATCAGAGCCACGCCAGTTATATCATGACACTGTACTCCATTGGTGACAGTATGTAAAAAACAAATTCTAAATTTTTTAATGATTTTTTCATTTTCCCAAAAATTATAACAAACAATTACTACTTCAAAAAACTCACCATGCCTCTTACTAAATATCTCAGACTGTCCACTTTCCAAAAAGGGGTCATATGGGGGATATTTGTACTGCGCCTGACATTTTTGGGCCTCAGGAACTGAGATCAGTGCCATCAGTACATCAGGACTGAATGCTTTTCAGATATATGCGATAGTTTATGGACTTTATACCTTTCCTACCAACTAAATAATAAGCACATATTTTGGTTATTTTCACCAAATGAATGTAGCAGAATACATTTTTCTCTAAATATTATTTATTTGCAAAATGTTATAATAGGAATAAAGAAAAACACATTTTTTCTATATAATTGTTTATTTAAAAATAAAAATGAAAATCCCAGTGGAGATCAAATACCACCAAAAGAAAGTTCTATTTGTACGAAAAAAATAATAAAAATTTCATATGGGTGCAGTGTTGCATGACCACGGAATTGTCATTCAAAGCGTGACAATGCTGAAAGCTGAAAATTGGCCTGGGCAGGAAGGGGGTAAAAGTTTTCGATATTGAAGCGATTAAACTAAAAAAAGTACTTACTATTGCTCTTAGCCTCCTCCAAATTCTTTTTTTTTTAAGCTGTGGTCTGATTTCTTGTTAGAGGATGGCTATATTCTGTTTTCATGTTCCTACTGCGTGTAGGACATAACCACCCTCTCTTGCTTGCTCCTATGGACTACGTACTATGTGATGTGTAGCTTGCATAGAGCAATGCACATGATTGCAGCTAATGTGCACTGCTCATTCCAAAAAAACAGAAGTGAGAAAGAAAGGAGAGGTTTGGGGCTTACGGAGTCCATTACAAGGAGGCAGAAAAGCATAGTAAGAAAAGATTTCATGATTTCAAAAATAGGTTACAGGGCAATTAAGTAGTGGATATGTAGGGTTTATTTTTGGAGAAAAAGTTGCTTTGTGTCACTTTAAGGGCTGGTAAGTAATGCTTGTTTTTTTTTCCAAACACATTACTGTGTGCATTGTGTAAAAACTTTCATTTTTTGCAAGAAAATTATTTAGGACCTGCAAACGTTATACATTTACACAGCAGTTCATCAAATGCAAATTGTGAGGAAAAAATTAATCTAAATGAATTTTAGTTCACACAAACACAGTATATTACTCTATTTTTGGTAAAATATAAAAGATGATGTTATGCTGAGTAAATAGATACTTAATATGTCATTATTTACAAGTTACCAGTTTATAGTTAAACAGGAGGCCTGGATCTAGTATTATTGCTCTCATGTTCATGTGATACCTCATATGTGTGGTGCAATCACTGTTTACACATGTGTGTGGGACCTACGTTCACATAATTTTACAATATTTTATATTTTAATTTTATAATATTTATTTTATTTAAATGTATTTTTTACACTGCATCTTTAAGTTTTTTTGGATGAACAACATCCTTTGTGATAGCATGGGCCGTAACAGGTACTCTTTACTGAGAGATCTGGGGTCTATTAGATTCCAGATCTCTCCTCTCCACTTCAAAGCAGCTGATCAAACCAAGATCAATTTATTCAGTTGCTTTACTTAACTACCGAAACCACAAGTGACAAACTTCTCATCGCTTCCAGTTTAATACAAAATAGAGGAGATCAAGGAATGGATGTTCCTCCTTCTTCTCTATAGTCAGCTGGTGCAGCTGCCCACAGTGGCCCCAGGCTCCCCAGTGAAGTAAGAGAGCTCAGAAATGGTGGTGCGCTCCTTGTAAAAGGTATTGGGCAGTTGTATTGCCACTCAGATCACTTTTACAAAAAAAGCCAAATGCTGGCACTCAAGAAAGATACTAGGATCATAGCTTCAGCCATGTTCTTGGTATAACCACTTAAAACTGAGGACGTTTGTGTGTGTGTATATATGTATATATATATATATTGCTCAGCAAAATTAAAAAAAACACTTTTTAATCAGAGTATAGCATCAAGTCAATTAAACTCCTGGGGTATTGATCTGGTAAGTGACAGAGGGGGTTGTTAATCAGTTCCAGCTGCTTTGGTGTTAATGAAATTAACAACAGGTGGACTAGATGTGCAACAATGAGATGACCCCCAAAACAGGATTGGTTTTACAGGTGGAGGCCACTGACACTAATTTCCCTACTCATCTTTTCCAACTGACTGTTTTTCACTAGTTTTGCATTTGGCTAGGGTCAGTGTCACTACTGGTAGGATGAGGCAATACCTGGACCCTACAGAGGTTGCACAGGCAGTCCAACTCCTCCAGGATGACACATCAATACGTGCCATTGCCAGAAGGTTTGCTGTGTCTCCCAGAACAGTCTCAAGAGCATGAAGGAGATTCCAGGAGACAGGTAGTTACTCTAGAAGAGTTGGACAGGGCTGTAAAAGGTCCTTAACCCATCAACAGGACCACTATCTGCTCCTTTGTGCAAGGAGGAACAGGCCTCCAGCAGGCCACTGGTGTGAATGTCTCTGACCAAACAATCAGAAACAGATTTCATGAGGGTGGTCTGAGGGCCAGACGTCCTCTAGTGGCCACTGTGCTCACTGCCCGGCATCAAAGAGCTTGATTGGCATCTGGCATTGAACACCAGAATTGGCAGGTCTGCCACTGCCACCCTGTGCTTTAGACAGATTAGAGCAGGTTCACCCTGAACACATGTGACAGACATGAAAGGGTCTGGAGAAGCCGTGGAGAACGTTATGCTGCCTGTAACATCGTTCAGCATGACCGTTTTGGTGGTGGGTCAGTGATGGTCTGGGGAGGTATATCCATGGAGGGACGTGCAGACCTCTACAGGCTAGACAATGGCACCCTGATAGCCATTAGGTATCGGGATGAAATCCTTGGACTCATTGTTAGACCCTGCGCTGGTGCAGTGGGTCTTGGGTTCCTCATGGTACATGACAATGCCCATCCCTATGTGGCAAGAGCATGCAGGCAGTTCTTGGAGAATGAAGGAATTGATACCATTGAATGGCCCTCACACTCGCCTGTACCTCAGACTGTTCAGAAGCTCAGTGGTACCCTGGTCCAGATCTGGGAGGAAATACCCCAAGACACCATCCGTCATCACATTAAGAGCATGCACCGATGTTGTCAGGCATGCATAAAAGTACGTGGGGTCCATACAAACTACTGAGTACCATTTTGAGTTGCTGCAATGAAATTTCAGCAAAATGGACTAGCCTGCTGCATCATTTTCTCACTTTAATTTTCAGGGCGTCTTTGAATTCAGTCCTCTGTAGGTTGCTAATTTTCATCTCCATGAAACAATGGGGCATTCTTAACACATTACCCAGTCCATATCAATATAGCAGCACAATATTTTTCCCCATTGAGATCTGATATGTTTTCAAAGTGTTCCTTTAATTTTTTAGAGCAATGTGTATATATATATATATATACACACACTATATTGCCAAAAGTATTGGGATGCCTGCCTTTACACACACATGAACTTTAATGGTATCCCAGTCTTAGTCCGCACGGTTCAATATTGAGCTGGCCTACCCTTTGCAGCTATAACAGCTTCAACTCTTCTGGGAAGACTGTTAACAAGGTTTAGGAATGTATCTATGGGAATGTTTGACCATTCTTCTAGAAGCTTATTTGTGAGATTAGGCACTGATGTCGGACGATAAGGCCTGGCTCACAGTCTCCACTCTAAATTCATCTCAAAGGTGTTCTATCGGGTTGAGGTCAGGGCTCTGTTTAGGCCAGTGAAGTTCCTCCACCTCAAACTTGCTCATCCATGTCTTTATGGACCTTGCTTTGTGCACTGGAACTAAGGGGCCAAGCCCAACCCCTGAAAACAACCTCACACCATAATCCCCTCTTCACCAAACATTACCCTTGGCACAATGCAGTCAAGCATTCTCCTGGCAACCGCCAAACCCAGACACGTCCATCGGATTGCCAGACAGAGAAGCGTGATTCTTCACTGCAGAGAACACGTCTCCACTGCTCTAGAGTCCAGTGGCGGCATGCTTTACACCACTGCATCCGACGCTTTGCCTTTCACTTGCTGATGTAAGGCTTGAATGCAGCTGCTCAGCTATGGAAACCCATTCCATGAAGCTCTCTATGCATTGTTGTGCTAATTTGAAGACCACATGAAGTTTGGAGGTCTTTAGCTATTGACTGTACAGACAGTTGGTGACTTCTGTGCACTGTGCGCTTCAGCATGCGCTGAACCCGCTATGTAATTTTATGTGGTCTACCACTTCATGGCTGAGTTGCTGTTGTTCCCAGTTGCTTCCACTTTGTTATAACACCACCAACAGTTGACCATGGAATATTCAGTAGCAAAGAAATTTCATGTATGGACTTATTGCACAGGTGGCAACCTATGATAGTACCACACTTGAATTCACTGAGCTCCTGAGAGCGACCCATTCTTTCACAAATGTTTGTAGAAGCAGTCTGCATGCCTAGGTGCTTGAATTTATATACCTGTGGCCATGGAGGTGATTGGAACACCTGAATCCAATGATTTGGAGGGGTGTCCCAATACTTTTGGCAATATAATCGTTTGGGAAATTTAAAGTGAAGCAAAAACCCAGAAATATGTAATTATATTGCAACTTTCCAGCTCTTAGGCTCCATGCACACTGGGCATTTTAACCACTAGCCTACAGGGCACTTATATCCCCTTCCTGCCCAGGCCAATTTTCAGCTTTCAGCGCTGTCGCACATTGAATGACAATTGGGCAGTCAAACAACACTGTACCCATATGAAATTTTTATCATTTTTTTGTGACAGAGAGCTTTATTTTGATGGTATTTAATCACCTCTGGGTTTTTATTTTTTCCTAAACAAACCAAAAACCACTGAAAATTTTTTTTTAAAAATATTTTTCTTAGTTTTTGTCATAAAATGTTGTAAATAAGTGATTTTTCTCCTTCACTGATGTGCGCTAATGAGGCTGCACTGATGGGCACTGATAGGCTGCACTGATGGACACTGACAGGTGACACTGATGGGCACTGATGAGGAGGCACTGGTAGGTGGCACTGATGGGCATTGATAGGCATCACTGATGGGCACTGAAAGGCAGCACTGATACATGGCACTGATATATGGCACTGATAGGCAGCACTGATAGGTGGCACTGACTGGCACTGATAGGCAGCACTGACTGGCACTGTTAGGCGGCACTGACAGGCATTCACAGGTGGCACTGATGCACACTGATAGGCAGCACTGACTGGCTCTGATAGGTGGCACTGATTTGCAGCACTTATAGGTGGCACTGATTGGCATTGATAGGTGGCACTGACTGGTACTGATGGGTGACACTGAAAGGCAGCTCAGATGGGCACTGATATGTGGCAGTGATGTGCACTGGTAGGCACTGATATGTGGCACTGATGTGGCACTGATGGGCAATGGCACGAGGCACTGATGAGCACTGACATAAGGCACTGATGGACACTGACAGGTGGCACTGCTGGGGCTACACTGATCATCAGGGAACTGTGTCCCCTCTGCGGAAAGCCGATTACCGTCTCTCTAACCGGCATTTCCCTGTTTACATGCGATCAGCTGTGATTGGACACAGCTGATCACATGACCGAGCAAACATCTTCGGCTCTTTATGTGATCGGTGATCCGCGGTGTCCGAGAAACACAGTGCACCGCCGATCGCCGCGCTGCGCGCTCCCTGAGCCACGCATGCGCAGTGAGAATGGGAGGACGTCATATGACATCTTCCCAGAACAAGAGAACCACCTTGCGCCCGTCATATTACTATATGGCGGGCAGGAGGTGGTTAATAACACTGGTAACGTTAGCTGTGTAAAGTCACGTTAAAAAACACATGAGTTTTTCAGATTTTTTTAGCATTTTTGCATTAGCATTTAGTGGTGTTTTGCACTTTTTTAGGTTTTCTTTTTTAAAAAAACATTTTTTTTTACTCAAAAAAAGTCCAAAAACGCTGATTTGCTACGTTTTTCAGTGTTAGAGCATTTTTACAGCTAAGAAACTCCTCTAGAAACCCGCTAGTTCTGTTTTTTTCCCAGCCGAAAAAACGTCCCTGCCAAAAAAATGCTGATTACAGTCTATGTGTGCAAGGTATACATAGGATAACATGCTAGGGAGTTTACTAGCTGTAGAGAAAACCGCCAAAATCCAAAAACAGCAGTTGTAAAAATGTCCAGTGTGCATGAGGACTTATATGTGATGGCTGCATTGCGTTTTTTTTTTCATGCCATCATTCTTTGGTTATCCTGCCAGAAACACTATTCCTGTCCTGAGATGCTCACTCACTGCACTGTATTTATAGAGGGGAAGCATTACTACCCAGGGAAAAAAAATGTTTAAAGAAGAACCCTGGGCAACATTTTTACAGTATTTTCCCACACAGTGGGGATGTGTCCACACTGCATGGCTGAATTGCTCGTTTTGTCGAGGGATGCCAAAAAAAGTTATACTTACCCAATCCTTTGATTTCTTAGGAAACAGTGCTTACCCACGTCCAGCGTTGGACTGTTCCTGCTGTCCTCATGTCCAGAGCCAGTCGATGGGCATGTTGACATCAGGAACAGCCCATTCACAAGACCACTAGCATGCGGGGGAGCAAGAGAAGAGGGGACTAGTCTTGCACTCAGAGGATTGGCAGTTTAGGTAAGTATATCTCTGCAGTGCAACCCGTAGACAAAAACAAGCAGTTAACCCACGCAGTGCAGGGCACAAGCCCACTTCATGGGAAAATAAAACATTTTCCTGGAGTTCATCTTTACAGAACCTTTCTCCTCATCTCCCTAATATACTGTAATTTTTTTGTTTTGTTTTTTTTGTACTTATTGAACAGATATACCAAAAAAAAAATGCTTTCAATTGTGCACTTAACAGTCAAAAAGGAATAAATGAAAGTAGTTTATTAGTAGGGTTTACAAGCACTGTTAAACATAAATGCTCATTTTAGCAATATTTTTTAGATTTTTCTGCAATTCATTTAATTACGCCATAATGACATAGATTGGTTGTAAAGAAAAGCTAAGTCAAATTGTATTTTTTTCTTTTTTGTTCCATCAGAGCAGATCAAACTGAAAAACCTGACTTCAGCTACCCTCTTTTAAAGATAGTTTATTATGATCCTACAGATGCACATACATTTTCCATCATTGACTGAGTAAACAATTTGTTCTATAAAGATGTAGAAAAGTACAACGTAAATGCTGTTTGTGTTGGTTATCAAGTGCTTTTGCCAATTATGACTTGAAGTTCAGATCACAGTTAAAAGGCCATACAAGGGGAAATCCACAAAACAACAAAGAGTTCACAAAGATTTTCTTAAGGCTGTATGTTCTTAAGTCAGAACAGAATATGGATTAAATGATATACTTTATAGGTTAGGTATTGAGATTCTAAACTGTGTGCTATTCTACATAGTTTGTATCTGTAATGAGCCTGTTTTTCCCTTGCAGAAGAATGTTTCCCAGCTACAAAGTTAAAGTCACTGGGATGAACCCCAAGACTAAATACATTCTACTCATAGACATTGTTCCCGCTGATGATCACCGGTACAAATTCTGTGACAACAAATGGTAAGAAGTCTTTTTTTTTCTATCATTTTCTAATGATTATGTATATGAGGTGTTCAAGTCAAACTGGGACTTTTGAGTTTTTATACTAAAAGAACAAATTTCAAGGAGTGGAAACTGTTTTTTTTTTTACATACTTCCCTGCTATATTTATACACCTATCCCAGGTTTAACTAATGCCTGCAATGCTTTGGCATAGAAAGATTTGTCAGTACACCTGAACCATCCTAGGGCAGCCTGCTTCACTTTGTCATCAGTGCTGAAATTCTGATCTCTGAAGAACTCTTTTAGGGGTCCAAACAAGTGGAATCTGTGGATGCAACTGTTCCAAATTTTTTTGGTGCTGGTGAGTCCGCATGCTTCTGCTGCATTGATGCTCGTTTTGATTCTGGAGGGAAATGATGCGCCCAGGTTTCATCACATGTAATGATGCGATCCAAAAAATCCTGGCCTTCCCTGTCAAAATGCTCCTTCAATGCATGCTTCAAGTCTTCTGTGCCAGTCAAAAACAGAAAGCTGTCTTGCTACCCAGTGTGCGCTAACTTTTAAAAAATGAAAATGTTCGTGGATGATTGCGTTCACCATTCCCACAAAAAAGATTTGTGTTTTGTGCAATTTCAGGACAGGTTATGCATTGATTATCCAGGATCAGGCGTTCACAGGAATGACTGCTGTTGGTTGGCAATTACCACAGCTGGGATCATCACTGACAGGTGTACGCCCATCTTTGAAACATGTACACCATTCAAATGATTACTGCAGATGAGCGTCTCATCACCGTACTATGCTTAAAATCTTCTGTAGACATCCGCAGGTTTTATGCCTTCATTCCCAAGAAACTTCATCACCACACACTGTTCCATGCATGCAGTAACACTGTTGTCTGCCATCTTGATTAATGGTTTCTGAACTGGTCTATTAATAGGACACACTTGTCACTTACTACTGTGTGTAGTACCACCACGTTAGCATCCCTTTTTATACCTGTAGAATTAAAAGTCCTGGCTTGACTTGAATGCCATATATATATATATATATATATATATATATATTTAATATGGTCAATAGTAATAACCTTATTGCCAGTAATCACATTGTAATGTGACAAAAACATGTACAACATCAATATTATGTCCTGCATATTCTCTTAAAAATTGACAACTTGCTTTAGGGTGTCATTTACTTGTTGGGTCCTGCCAAGCAAGTCCAGACATTATGAATGTGTGTATCATTTCATAAGATTTGATTTCTGGACGAAAATTCAATTTACAGAGATTCAGATGTATACAAATCTCTGAATGGACATAGTAACAGATGTCAACGAATCTGAAAAGAGTTAATGAAATTACCAAAGGAATTTATTTTATTTGGATGATGTTTCATGACGAGGTAGCAGTTTGGGCCCAAGGGAAAATTAATTCAGTTTTTTCATTTGTTTGATAATTCATATTAGAGTAAAGTTGTGATTTAAATTGAATTTGTAATTTTTCACAGTCAGTCAGTTCAGTTACACACAGGGGCAGACTGACCATTTGGAAACTCGGGCACTGCCCGAGGGCCCGGGGTCAGTAGGGGGCCCCATGAGATGACCCTGGTACCTTTTTCATAGGCTTTTTTGAGTTTGGGCAAGGATACAAGGGCCCCATGATCCCCAATTGCCCGGGGGCCCCATGAGTTGTCAGTCCGCCCCTGTTCCACAGTCTAATGCAAATCTTAGGCTTGAGCTGATTGTAGCTGTATTAGTGCACTTGCGACACAATTGATTACTGTCTTTGATACTTTTTTTTTTCATTTGCACTAGCATTACATTTTTCAGGAAAGCTTGTCCTGAAAAATTGTATGTTAGTGCAAATAAATAAAGCCTTATGGAAAGTACTCAATTGTTCCTGTCTTATGTTTGAAAAATTCAGGGCCATCGAATTTTGCATTATTTATTCTGTTGAGCTGAAAATATTGAATGGTTTCATGAATTCAATGGTTATATGAATAAAAAATCCACGCAAAATATTGAAGCCTAAGACTAATATTTAGCAATCTTTTTAAAAATGCTAAATTTTTTAAATCCAACTAGACCAATGAATATACAGAGCAAATGCTGAAAACAAACTGATTCAATATAACAAATATTTACAGGTGAAACTCAAAAAATTAGAATATCGTGCAAAAGTTCATTTATTTCAGTAATGCAACTTAAAAGCTGAAACTAATATATGAGATAGACTCATTACATGCAAAGCAAGATAGTTCAAGCCGTGATTTGTCATAATTGTGATGATTATGGCTTACAGTTCACGAAAACCCCAAATCCACAATCTCAGAAAATTAGAATATTACATGCAATCAATAAAACAAGGATTGTGCATAGAACAATATCGGACCTCTGAAAAGTATAAGCATGCATATGTACTCAGTACTTGGTTTGGGCACGTTTGCAGCAATTACTGCCTCAATGCGGCGTGGCAGAGAAGAGATCAGCCTGTGGCACTGCTGAGGTGTTATGGAAGACCAGGATGCTTCAATACCGGCCTTCAGCTCTTCTGCATTGTTCGGTCTCATGTCTCTCATCTTTCTCTTGGCAATGCCCATAGATTCTCTATGGGGTTCAGATCAGGCAAGTTTGCTGGCCAATCAAGCACAGTAATCCCACGGTCATTGAACCAGGTTTTGGTGCTTTTGGCAGTGTGGGCAGGTGCCAAGTCCTGCTGGAAAATGAAGTCAGCATCCCCATAAAGCTTGTCTGCGGAAAGAAGCATGAAGTGCTCCAAAATCTCCTGGTAGACGGCTGCGTTGACCCTGGACTTAATGAAGCACAGTGGACCAACACCAGCAGATGACATGGCTCCCCAAATCAACACAGACTGTGGAAACTTCACACTGGACTTCAAGCATCTTGCAGTGTGTGCAGCTCCATTCTTCCTCCATACTCTGGGTCCTTGGTTTCCAAATGAGATGCAAAAGTTGCTCTCATCAGAAAAGAGGACTTTGGACCACTGAGCAACAGACCAAGTCTGTTTTTTTTTTTTTAGCCCAGGTAAGACACTTCTGACATTGTTTGTTGTTCAGGAGCGGCTTGACAAGAGGAATACGACATTTGAAGCCCATGTCTAGGATCCGTCTGTGTGTGGTGGCTCTTGATGGACTGACTCCAGCCTCAGTCCACTCCTTGTGAAAGTCCCCAAAACTTTTGAATGGCCTTTTCCTGACAATCCTCTCCAGGCTGCGGTCATCCTTGCTGCTTGTGCATCTTTTTCTTCCACACTTTTCCCTTCCACATAACTTTCTATTAATGTGCTTTGATACAGCACTTTGGGAACATCCAACTTCTTTTGCAATTACCTTTTGAGGCTTTCCCTCCTTATGGAGGGTGTCAGTGATGGTTTTCTGCACAACTGTCAGGTCAGCAGTCTATCCCATGATTGTGATTCCTATTGAACCAGACTGAGAGACCATTTAAAGGCTCAGGAACCCTTTGCAGGTGTTATGGCTTAATTAGAGTGGGACACTTTGAGCCTAGAATATTGCACCTTTTCACAATATTCTAATATTCTGAGATTGTGGATTTGGGGTTTTTCATGAGCTGTAAGCCATAATCATCACAATTATGACAAATCACGGCTTGAACTATCTTGCTTTGCATGTAATGAGTCTATTGCATATATTACTTTCACCTTTTAAGCTGCATTACTGAAATAAATGAACTTTTGCACGATATTCTAATTTTTCGAGTTTCACCTGTATATTGTATAAGCGCTGAGCAAACTGTTGGAGCTATATAAATCCTGTATAATAATAACATAATAATGATGAAACAAAATTGTTCAATAAACGAATGCATCTGTCTACCTGAAATACAGATGCAATTAGTGTGTTCTTATAACATCACTATCATATGGCTTCTTGTTGGTTGATACAGTATGTATGGATAGTTTAGTTTGGCTACAACTTAGCTGCGAACACTAAATTTCGGTAGGGACACTCCACCTTAAGACAGGGCCCCTACACATACAGTCATGGCCGAAATTGTTGCACCCTTGATATCTTTTTTCCTGAAAATCAAGTATTTCACACAAAAAAGGTATTGCATTAACACATGTTTTGCTATACACATGTTTATTCCCTTTGTATGTATTGGAACAAATATAAAACAGAGGCAGAAAAGCAAATATGACATAATGTCACACAAAACCCCAAAAATGGGCTGGACAAAAGTATTGCACCCTTAACTTAATATTTGGTTGCACACCCTTTGGAAAACATAACTGAAATCAGTCGCTTCCTATAACCATCAATAAGCTTCTGACACCTCTCACCCGGAATTTTGGACCACTCTTCCTTTGCAAACAGCTCCAGGTCTCTCTTATTGGAAGGACACCTTTTCCCAACAGCAATTTTAAGATCTCTCCACAGGTGTTCAATGGGATTTAGATCTGGGCTCATTGCTGGCCACTTCAGAACTCTCCAGCGCTTCTTTGCCATCCATTTCTGAGTGCTTTTTGACGTATGTTTGGGGTCATTGTCCTGCTGGAAGACCCAGGATCTTGGACGCAAACCCAGCTTTCTGACACTGGGCCCTACAGTGCGACCCAAAATCCTTTGGTAAAGATTTCATGATGCCTTGCACACAGTCAAGGCACCCAGTGCCAGAGGCAGCAAAACAACCCCCCAAAACATCATTGAACCTCCACCATATTTTACCGTAGGTACTGTGTTTTTGTTCTTTGTAGGCCCTCATTCCGTTTTCGGTAAACAGTAGAATGATGTGCTTTACCGAAAAGCTCTATCTTGGTCTCATCTGTCCACAAGACGTTTTCCCAGAAGGCTTTTGGCTTACTCAAGTACATTTTGGCAAACTGTAGTCTTGCTTTTTTATGTCTCTGTGTCAGCAGTGGGTCCCTCCTGGGTCTCCTGCCATAGCGTTTCATTTCATTTAAATGTCGACGGATAGTTCGCGCTGACACTGATGCTCCCTGAGCCTGCAGGACAGCTTGAATGTCTTTGGAACATGTTTGGGGCTGCTTATCCACCATCCGGACTATTCTGCGTTGCAATCTTTCATCAATTTTCCTCATCCGTCCACGACCAGGGAGATTAGCTACAGTGCCATGGGTTGCAAACTTCTTGATAATGTTGCGCACTGTGGACAAAGGCAAATCTAGTTCTCTGGAGATGGACTTGTAACCTTGAGATTGTTGATATTTTGCCACAATTTTGGTTCTCAGGTCCTCAACAGTTCTCGTCTCCTCTTTCTGTTGTCCATGCTTAGTGTGGCACAGACAGACACACAATGCAAAGGTTAAGTGAACGTCTCTCCTTTTTATCTGCTTTCAGGTGTGATTTCTATATTGCCCACACCTGTTACTTGCCCCAGGTGAGTTTACAGGAGCATCACAATGCTTGTAACATTCTTATTTATCCGCAGTTGTGAAAGGGTGCCAATACTTTTGTCCAGCCCATTTTTGGAGGTTTGTGTGACATTATGTCGAATTTGCTTTCTTTTTTGTTTTGTCCCAATACACACAAAGGGAATAAACATGTGTATAGCAAAACATGTGTTAATGCAATACGTTTCGTGAGAAATACATGATTTCCTGGAGAAATATCAAGGGTGCCAACAATTTCGGCCATGACTTATAAGATAGATGGATCGATAGACACAATTATTACAATTACTTTCTCCTTTGTTACCCGGTATCTAATAGGCTAATAACACTTTGTAAATCATGTATTGGCTTGTTCTCTGACATGTAGTAGGTTAAAGTGGGCTGTAAATTACTTAGTTTCTAGTGGTGTTGGAAAGGATGTCATTTGTTCCCTGGTTTCATAAATCGATTGCAAGTCACTTTCTCTTTTATTACCTGCCATTATCTTTATTACCAAATTGTAAATGATCTTTTAATTAGCCAAGTAAATGGCAATGAATATGGTTTCACATAATTTATTTCATATCTGCTTGAAAAATAGTCTGTTCTTGATAATATGCCCTTTTATCCCTATATCAAGTGGACACTTAAGGTTCTTTTCTAATGTGCCCCATTACCAACTGACATTACATGCTCCCAGTATTTCCGGGGAGCATGTGACAAAGTAACTTGAAAAAATGTCAAAACCTGTTTAAAATTGTCATAATCTGCCCAGTACCATATACCTTTTTATTATGTGTTATGGCTTGGCACATCTAATGCAGAGTTGCAGAGGCTTTTTATTTCCCCTAGTTTGCATCACTCTGATCCTGATCAAGGAAAACACACTATTTAATATACTGTACCCTGGGGAGAATTTTCCAGAACATTATATAAAATGATGTCCTATGTGTAGCCAAAAAAGATTAAACATTTTTTCCCTCTTACCTTGTTAAAATAAACTGGCCACAATCTTGTGCAGTTCTATTTAGAGGATACCATAAAAAGCATAAGCTGAAGTTATGCTCACTTTGACTTACCATTATGAAGAGTAGGCCAAGGCCAAAGGTGGCATAGATAATGAGGGAGATTCTTTTTTTATAATCATCAGCCATTTAACTCCCCACCATCAATAGCAATAGTCAGCTAATGTAAGCTTAGTTACACACTGTCACAATATTCT